TTCAGAGCCCCCGGCACCTATTCAGAGCCCCCCCCCAGCACCTATTCAGAGCCCCCTCTCCTGCTCACCTTGTTGCAGGGAGGAGGCTGCGAGGCGGCACGTCTGTCCCGGTCTGTCGGCGATTGATTGATGAGGTCTGCTGCAGACCTCATCAATAGATCCTGCACAATCCTTTCGGCCAGCGTTCACTGAAAGAGAGCTGGCCGAAAGGATCCGGGTGCCGGCGCAGACTCAGCGACAGGGTCTGCATCCGACAGAGATGCAGACTGTGTAGCTGTTCCCACAAGTCAGGTACGCGGTCCTCGACCGCGTACCTGACTTGTGAGCTGGCTGCCGGCCGGAATCTGCCGCCCGAGGCAAACGCCTTGTTTGCCTCGCGGCAGATACGCCCCTGACCATATATACAATCATAAGATCAAATCATTTATTTCCTCTTTAGGTTTTATTTAATTCTCTTTTACTCTGAGGTTTGCCTACAGTGTTACGTCAATTTCTATTTCAAAGATTTTATTTGTTTTATACAAAACATACATTGACATCTATAGTCTTCAAGGATAGACATAATCTGTATCACCCTGCTGACCCTCTCCACCAACCACCTTTTAACAAGACAATACAATATAACCACAAAAAAAAAAGAAAAACAAACCAAATCTCAAAACTAACAAAAGGAGGGATAAGACACCAAATTCATTTCTACAGAAGCATCAAACTTTCTACTGAGAGTGTTGGATGAGCGTTCTTAATCCAGGGTTCCCAAGTCTTCATAAACTTTTTATTGGAATCCAACAGTATGCTAGTCAGTTTTTAACTTCTCCAAAAAACACATATGGTTTCCTCCATGCTTGGGCAATGGTCTTTTTCGCCGCCAACATGACATAGGTCAAAAGATTGTGATAGTTTTACTCCTGGAGATCAAAGCTCTGGTAATTACCTTTTTTAAAGAAGGTCAGTCTACCACAACAGTAACCAGCAAGCAGCATAAATAAAAATACACAAGGGGACTGACTACATAGTGTAGAGAGTCCAGGGGTTAACTACAGATCGGGACTGACCAAAGTGGGAATATAGTAGAAAAATATTTTATTAATATACAAAAAAGACCACAGCCAACACCTTATTTTTAGCACATTAAAAACAGTGAAATAAAGATACTGACTATAAATTAATAATTGTTAGATCGGATATTAAGACCCTATTGTTGTGCACATACAAATCAAGACCACAACGATCCAGCTTTCAGTTATGTTCCAGCTAAAAGGGATTGACCCTGTGTAAGCTGAGTGTCACATAGATCTAAAGCATATGCTAAATCCCATTGGGTGCTACCTGGTTTCGTTAGTATATATCTGAATACAGCAAAAAATGCTATTTTGTAGCTTCCTTGGTGGATGGATTCCAGAAAGGCGGGATTTAGATACTTTGTAATTAACAGCAAAGTATATTGATTCAAGACTGTCAGAGGGGCTCCTTTTGAACTCAGTGTCCCGGATCAAAATATTTTTTCCCTATGGGATTTAGCATATGCTTTAGATCTATGTGACACTCAGCTTACACAGGGTCAATCCCTTTTAGCTGGAACATAACTAAAAGCTGGATCTTTGTGGTATTGATTAAAATATTTTTCTACTATATTCCCATTTTGGTCAGTCCCGATCTGTAGTTAACCTTTGGGCTCTCTACACTATGTAGTCAGTCCCCTTGTGTATTTTTGTTTAACATGACATAGGTCTCCAGTTTATGTTGTGAGTTGTTACGTCAATTTCTAATAACAGTTTACGGTATATGTATCTCAAATACATAAATAGGGCATGAGCATAGCAAAAGTACTACATAGTTATTTTAAATTGAGACCCACTCTGCTAGACTACTAACTTCACTCTGATCAAGGTACATATAGTTACATAGTTACATAGTATTTGAGGTTGAATAAAGACATTAGTCCATCAAGTTGAGAAATCCAGATATACCACATCTACCGGCTTTACATTATGTTACAGTGCCAAGAACCTGGAGCTCCAAAAAAAGTTTTTTTTAAAACTCCCTCAGGGCTTGTTTCCAGCCCCCACGTCTACCGCAATGTGCTGTGCCCAGAACGCAAGGGATCGCATATATAAAGTCTCCTGATCCCACTGCACTGGAACGCAGGGCATTTTATTTCCACACATTCCTCTGCAATCGTTCTGTGGGCGTGGGTCGTGTCTGCAGTGCCATTGACTTGAATGGCACTACCACTCCTCCCGCCCCAGAATGCAAGGAGACTGTATATAGGCGATCCCTTGCGTTCCGGGCACGGGACATTACGGTAGACGAGCAAGGCTGGTGGAAACAAGCCCTCATACCCAAAACATAGAACAGTAGTACAAAAAAAAGCTTCAATATGCCCTTTAGGTTACCCTTTATTGTCACCTGATGATCCTGCTGGTAACACACTTTCTGTCATAGGGTGACAACACTGCACCTCCATAGATACAGTACAGATAGTGAGCACTCACTCCACTGTTTCTGTGGATGAGCAGTGTTGTCACCCTAGGACAGAAAGTGTGTTAGGGCTACACAGGAGCTCCCCCTCTCCTCATCTCCACAATACAGGTTGGATAACAATGCTTAAGATTTCAGAGCAGCACAGGCAGACTGCCCGGGAAGTTGCAAGCTCACAGGATTTTTGACAGGATTTTTTTAACGTATCAAACAGATATAACAAAATGTTTTCAGTAGTATATGTATCAGACCAACAGGGAAAAAACGTAACAACTAGTGGTTAAACCCAACCCCTAACTTTAACCCCTAAAACCTAGACTTAATTTATCAGTAGAGAACGTACCTGCAGTAAATGTTCAGTCCCACACCAAGCACTACCTCTGCCATGTGTACAGCACCAAAAGCAACCTTTCCGGCCTGGTGGTCTGTATTTTCAGCTGGGACTTGGTAGGTATAGGCAGTCAGAATAAGTTACTAAGGAAGGCAACTGTAATAGTGTACAGTATACAATTAGTATAACTAATATACATCAGTAACTTGTTTATTTTTATATTAGTTCTGCCTCTTTATGTTGTAGATGCTGGGATACTAATGAGCACAGCATTCCATGGTGGGTTATAAGAATACCGATCATCATTTCTATCATTGTGAGTAAACTTGTTTGTACTGACACATACTATTACTTGATTCATCATTTATTTGTTTTGATATAGTTGTTTAATTTCCTTCTAACATTGACTGAGTCTTTATACCTTATGAGGTCCAGGCTTGTTATTCACAGTCGTACTTTGCTGATTGGTATCAGTAGTAAGCACAAGTTGTTTGTTGCAGGTTGTCTTGAGGTTTTCTGCCATTTGTCCGGATGATGCTATAGCTAATAGTAGGGAAGGTAGGTGTGTGCGGAGGGCAACTAGCATTACACATGTTTTGGTAGAACACATGCTTGCAGCAAGAGCAGAGGGTAGAACTTGTCAGTCCTTATGCTCCTCCACTGTCCAGTCATAGGCTGGTAAATAAATCAAGCAGTACTGATTATTAAAATTGTATGTCCACTTTTGCAGCAAAATTGGGATAACACCTATTTTATATTTGTTACATGTCTCTCTGTAATGTTAGGAGGGGCTACAAGATGTAAGGGGTGTGTTCATTATAATTTGTAAAGTAGATTTGAAAACTGCTTGTCCAAACAAAGGGTTGAAGGATTTAAAGCCTGGCTTCTGCATTGTATGTTAATTAAGTTAATGGGAGAAACACAATCCTCAAATTTAAGTCATAAGTCTTTCTATAAGGACAGATCACTGTTAAGGTACTGCAAAAAAAAACTGGAATCAGCCATGTTGCCTGCTGCAAAAGGTACAAAAAAGTTTTTAAAAGTTTTTTTCAGTATGCTGTGCGACTGGGAACACATACCAAACATATAGAGAGGTTATCTCAATTTTGAATGCAAAAGTGGAAATACACTATAAGAGGCGAAAGGTTAGGTCACCAAGACATTCAGGAAATAGTCGATGAAAGAAAAAACATCTTATTGGTTGCTAAAGCATATGCTGGCTATTGTTAATTAGTAACAAGCAACACTTCAGATTCCAAATATCTCTATATAATCTTACCCAGGTGGTGGGCTGCATGCTTTTCAGTGTCCATTAAAAGTTGATTTATTTGTCTTTACTGAAATGTACATGGGTTTGTATAAAACACAAATGTTTTCTTTTCTTTTTTTTTTCCCTAGGTAAACTTCTGCCTATTTATTAATATCATTCGAATCTTACTGCAGAAGTTAAGGTCTCCTGACGTAGGAGGCAATGACCAATCCCAGTTCAAGTACGTATTCAGACATGCATTCCGAAATGAAATCCCAGCATTGCTTTGGACTGCATTATGGTTTAGTCATCTAATGACGTGGGAGCTCATTTATTTACAAATAGGAAAGGAATGCTTGGAAAAAGATTTGACATATTATTGAACAGATAAACCTTTTTCTGGGACATTTTCTACTATTTAGAATCAAAGAAATCAGATAAGATATATAAAATGAGCAAGGGACCCATATGGACAATAGCAGTTAAGCATGTACATGGTAAACTATCAGTGAGAATGAAAATATATGAATGGGTGATGATCTGCTTGGCATTTGGCTGTTTGTCACGAAGGCCCTCTGGTGTCAATGTTATCTGACCCAGAAATAGAATGCTGCATACTTGTTTCAGTTCAGTGACTTGGGAATAAAGCCAGAGACAATCAGACAACTAGCATTCCCATAACGAAGTCAGCAATGGCAGCCTCCATTTTTCTCCGATGAGGATGTTAAAGGGGAACTGTACTCTTTCTTTTATTTTGTTTTAGACATTCCTAACATAACATATCCATAACCGTTGGCTGATTTGTAAATTGTTTGCCTGGATCTGGCAAGGTTTCATAAGTGCAAAGTAGGAGAGCTCCATGCCCTGTATAATAAAAGACCAAATATGCTGGGCCATAGTTAGTCCAGTGGCTCTTTAGAAAAAACAAAAAAGTAGAAAGAAAACCAATCTGAGGATTTATTCATGTAACATTTTATTTGAAAAATAAATATTGAATTCAGAGTAATTCCATGACAATTTGTTTGCAGGGTATACTGGGCTTCCTAAACAATAAGCCCAGCTACATATGCTCCTTTGTTTACAATACAAGGTCTCTACCAGCAGGGGTGGCAGGAAGTGATATGTCCCTCTGATTTATTCAGCTGTGTTTGTCTAATTTAATTTCCTGCTATTTAGGATTTTCACATCATGCATAAAGAATTTGCCAGTTTGGTTAGGAGATGCACTATGCCACCTGCTGGCTGCAATCATTAACCTAGCAATCAGTTCTAAGCTTCGCAGATAAATGCTAATTTGCAAATTTGCCGATCTCGTCAAACTGAACTCCACGCAAACACATGTAATCAACACACACAATGCTGTACAGTACCTGCCAAAGGTTTGTATTTCTTTCCATCCAGTCTGGCGGTCCTGAGATTTGTATAAACCCATCAAACATCACACTCAGGTGGATGTCACCACTTACAGATAAGGACTATTGTAGTGTCCTCTTCACTCCCACCCGGCTAACTGGGCAGTGAAAGAGCAGCAGTAGACTGAGCTGGTCATTCCTCCTCCTCAGTCTCCTACTGCCAGTATGTTCCTTGTCAACACATTTTCATGCAACACACCTGATTGGCTTCCAGGCCTACCCCTTGCTCTCTCATTCTGAGTGTTGCTATACTGCTTTACCCAGAGCACCATAACTGCTGTCAGTGCCCACCCTGTGTCAAGATCAGTGGGATGCATGCTATGTCCTTTCCTACCCCCACCATTGACGGTGGGGGTAGGTGGAGTGGCCACATATAATTCCTATTTTTTTTTTATACTTCCACATGGATGACTATTAGAGGCAACGGAACCCCATAAATTGTGTGGGGCTTTTGTTGCAGAAAAGGATTACTAGTTTAGATATAATAGTGCTTATTATTAGTCAGTGCTGGATACATAATGCATCTGAGCAAAGTCCACATTTCTTGCTGGTGTTAGAAGCAAGTTTCCGTAGATATGACTGAGATATAGGGAATATATCCTGTTATCGGTAAAGAAAGAAGTAATGCCATTGTCATACAAGGCAGTTTGACCAAGTGTGGTTAATATTTGATTTTTGCCTTATTTCAGGAGACTCACAAAATCCACCCTTCTGCTTATACCATTGTTTGGGGTCCACTATATGGTGTTCACTGTTTTCCAGATGCCCAGTTTCAGTGAATGTCAGATATGGTTCGAGCTTTCTATTGGATCATTTCAGGTAAAATATACATTTGTAAATCCAATGATACAGTATATATAGACTTACTATTAAGGCAAATGGTTATGTGTGAGGCACAGTAACCCATCCCAACCAATAAGTAAAAGGATTTAACTGAGCTGACCGCAGTTAGGTGCAATCTGACTGGTTGTTGTGGGTTACTGCAATTTGTACAACATCATTGCTATAGCACTTCTTCACTGAACAAACTATAATTGTGCGTTACTTTGTTGCAGGGGCTGGTGGTGGCCATTCTGTACTGCTTTTTAAACACGGAAGTAAGTCCTTTTGTATACTTTTGGTACTTAAAATGTAAACATCTTTCAAACTAGAGGTACAGTCGCTTCAACAAAGATTTGGCTTTTAAATTATTTCATGAGGCTAGACTAGAGGCAGTTTAAGCGTAGAATGCACCAGGGTTTTTTTTTACTGTGAGAGCAGTAAAAATGTAAAATTCACTTCCGCAGCCGAAAGCATTGCTAAATGAAAGAAAATCTTACATGAGTTTTCCAGTTCACAGAATGTACAGGGATATGGAAACTATTAGAGACATGTACACAAGCACACAGACATATATAGGTTGAACTGGATGGACCTTTCCAATAATGTTACAATGTTACTATATACATTATTTCACTGTTTACTACTCACAATGCTTTAAAACAGAACTCCAGGGAAATTCTTTATTAACACCTGCAGTGGGGCTACCCCCGCATTGTAAGGGTTAAGTGCTTGTTCTGGTCTAGGGAGCAAAATAACAAAGTTATACTCACCTAATCCTTGGAGCTGGCTGGCTCTTAGACCAGCCCTTCCAGCCTCACTCCCCTCCGCTGCAGCAGTGTAAGGGCTGTGAGTCATTCCGTTCAAAACACAGTGTATAGGTCGTGAGGATGTAGAGTGATATACCATCACTGGATTGTAGGAAGAGACTGGCTGGTGGGAGCGCTGTCACAGTTGGCCGGCTACGAGGATAGGTAAGGAAAAGGTAAGTCTTCTAGCTCTTCCAATACTACTTGTCCACTCCAACGTCACTGTTAACAGAGCTCTATAATATCATTTGAGTATTGGTCAGTTAAAGAAGGGGTCTCTGATCCTCCTGGCACTCTGGGAAATTGCCATTTGACATACAAAGTACTAGCTCTGAAAAACAGAATATGTTTCACATTCATTTTTATGTACAACAACCAATGCTGGAACGCAGGATTGAGGGTTTGTTCTGATTATCATTGATGGTATATAATATTCAGTGTTTTGTGCACCCGTTAGGTCCAAGGAGAGCTAAAGAGGAAATGGGGGAGTTTTTATCTGAACCGATACCTAAGCCGAGACTATCGTCTGCAGAGTCTATCGATTTCACGGAATGGCTCAGAATGTGCTCCACAATTTCACCGAAACTCAAGAGCTCCGTCCATCATGCAAACTGAAACGTCCATCATATAATTTGTATAGCTACAAAATCAACTATTCCAGCAAAAGGACTGCTGAAGATTCTGTGCAGCTACATTTGGTATCAGTGGGGGAAAACTATACCTTCAAAGTGTTTTATTTTGAATCTGATGACCAACAAACTTTTCTATGAACTTTGGGACTTGATGTTGCACTTACCACTCAGCTATCAGCTATTTCTACCATGCAATTCTTATCATGTAATTTATTATGTTTTGTGTATCTTCTATATGTTTTGTGGAACATATTCCGTTATTTGAGTATTAAACTGTATAGTTTATTTGTATGGAGTGCAGGCTGGCAGATAATTGTGCATTATGTACATTTGGGTACTTCCGGAAAGTATCTCTGGCTTACTAATTCCTCCCCCTATTATGGTCTTTTTTTTGCAGCTAAGGACTTTGTCAACCAAGTTTGCATGTCTAAAGGGGCTTGTAGATGTTCCATTCCAAATTGCTTCCTGCTGATTCTCCAAAACTAAGGACTTGATGTATAGTACTTGGAGCAAAAGTGACTAACCAACCACAGTATCAGAACTTTGTCACATTAAAGTATTTGTGCTTAGCCATTGTATAAATGTCTAAGGGGGCAGGAATATTAATGAAAGGAGATAGGCTTTATTATGACATTACTGCATGTCACTTTTGCTATGCCCTGGCACGCAGGTAAACCAGTACTGTTTGGCTGCATAATGATCCAGCAGAGCAGCAATACCATCAGTAAATTTTAAGTAAATTTTAAGATATGATGACAGCATAAATAGCTAAAGCACATCCCAGACTTGCTTAAGGTGTTGTCAGCAAGAGAGATGGGTGGTGAGACAGCTGCTAATCTTCTCTTGGACTGGGTTGCCAACTCATCCCTTTACTTTCTGACATATCCAGATTACATTATGCAGTTTAAAAGGTAAAGTAGATTTAAACCAAATCACTAAAACCTCATGTAAACCTTAACATGCTAATGTAAATTCAAAGATCTTTCAATGTTTTTAAATCTGCAGCCTTAATTAAAAAAAATACCTGGTGATCCTGCCATGAAGGTCCTTGTTCAGGCACTTGCTGTTATGAAATTAGAGTTGACTTGAAACTGTGCTCGGTCGGAGACTATAGGTGGCTGTGTGACACACATTGCACAGACATGGTCCACAACTGTCAGCAAGGTAATGGTTTATAGCTGATGCTAGAGCTAGTGCATATAGAGAGGAAGTGATCTAAAGCGGTTGGAAGTGATTAGCAGTGCTGAGATGCAAACAAAAAGATGAAAAAAGTATAACATCTGCAGTTTATAAAAAAAAAATACGTACATAGCAATTCTTTATGAAATACAGGGGTCTATTCACTAAGCTGCCGAAGGATCTAGCTGTAGCTTCGGCTGATCCTTTGGCTAGTTCGGCCGACCCGAAGCCACCCAATGTACGACTGATATCAGCCTATATATGGCTGGTACCAGCCTGAAGTGAATAGCCAAACAGCGTTCGGCTCACTTCGCTTGGGGTAGGTTAGTAACTCGGCTGCCTACGGCAGCTTAGTGAATAGACCCCACAATGTTTTAGTAAACAACGACATCATGTTAGGGTTTGGATCTACTTTAATTAGAGTATCTTAGTGCCTTATGTTCTTGTACTCAACCATGGAAACTTTACAATTCATATTTGTGAGTGTTAGTTGGCATCCAAGTGCCAGTGTTCAGTACAATATTCACAATTTTCTTCCTCACTCCCTTACTTCACTGGTTTCAGTGAAGGGATCATTTCCTTCTCTCCCTAGCAAGGGGAAAATATGTATCTGATAGCACTGAGATATCAAACTATATTACAAAATCCCTATTGTGATGTTACATTTCCCTATTAGTGTGATACAAGCTCTTTTAAAAGTGCTCAGGGTCACTTTCTAGGAAATCCCAACACAGCCTTATGATTTCCCATTCGCTGCAAGAAAACCTTTTTCATGGATTGCCAGTTTGCAATCAATAGGCTGTTTGGCCAACCCTAAAAGATGACCTTAAAAACTGTAGCATGTTGTAGTGTTAGATAAAATGTTCTGGGATGGCTGAGATCTGCACTGCAGGACTGGCTGTTAGATGTAAGCTGGCGATCCATTTTGTTATGGGGCTTTGCCAGTTACAGTTCTGGTAAGTGTAGCCATTGGGAATATCTTGGCAATATTATCATACATCTAATTGATAATAGTGCACTTCATTTCTAGGATAATAATTGCCCCAGACCTTTTTACTTTTCACTTAAACAAATTAGGTCCTTCTCCATCCCCCAATGCTGCACATCTCATTGGGCAACAAAGACTGACAGAGTGGATTCTTTGCTCAGTTGTATCATAAGATTTCAGGGGATTTCTTTCAGAAAAGAATGGGAATAAAGGAAAACAGATTATTTTCAGGTTCTAGAGCACACCGTTTACCAGAGCAGTTATAGCAGATATATGATTTTTGGCTGTCAATTTCCTTGTGCAGTTTTGTATGTTGCTGACATGTTGCCTTTGTTTTGTTATTAGAGGAAATAGGAGGTGAAATTTAGGTGAAATTTGGGGGCATCTGCACATTGCTCTTGTGTTTAAAAAGTGGGTGATAACAACGGTGGGGATGTCATATGAGTGAGGGACCTTCTCCTGCCCCATGTATAACAATGCTGTGCAGAGGCTCCTGATATGTTATTTCAAGGGCAGTGTTATAATATCATTGTTCTCTGTCCAAGGTGAAAACACAGAAAACACATATAGACTGCGAGCATGGCTCAAATGAAAATACTAACGCCCTACAACTCCAGTTTTAGTAAATCAGGATTACAATGCAGAAAATAATCATGTGGAGAAACCTGCAGCAAATTAAGCAAATGTAAATTCTATTTAATGAAGAATATTGCACTCATAACATAAGGTATCATTTAATTATGAGATTCTTCCATATATAAAACACAGCTCATATTTTAATCTGACAGTAGCTCTGTCATTTGTATTGTATGCTTAATTAAAAATATGTGGGAGTGGTATATTTGGTAGTCTTTCTGCATTTATGTAATGAAACACATTATAAGAATAAGGCCTCATTTACACAGGACTTGGTGCCCCATACAGCATGAAGGGCCGTTTTTGGTTGGATGTGGGCAGCTAATGTAAAACTATGGAGATGCAGGAGCTATACACCCTCACAAGTTTCTTCCCGCAGCTCCAAATTTCGACAGCCACACACAGACCTGTGTGCGGCTGTCAAAAACTCGGAGCTGCGGAAGCAGCGTGTGAGACTGCACAGCTCCTGAGTCTACATAAAGTTATACCACCAGGCACATGCGGTCAGGGGAGGCAGGTGAGGCAGAGCCTCGCCTAGTATTACAGTGGAAAAAGCTGTCAGCGTCAACTCTGAAGCTGACAGCTTTTTCTCCATTCCGATTGGCTTCTATCAGGAAAGCCTCCCGCTGTGTAATTACAGGCAGCGCTGCATCCGGCTTTTGACAGGTAGTTAGGTTACACAGCAGCGGGCTTCCCCACTGCTTATATAACCTAACTTGGTGAAGCAAGAGCTGTCACAGCCTCTACTCTTTGTTAGAGGAGTGAGCTCTATGGATGGCTTGGACCAATGGCAAAGTGCCATTGGTCCAAGCTGTCTAATCCAAAAAAGAAAACAAAACACTGAGGCCATCGATCTCGATGGCTCAGCAGTGACGGGCAAGTGAGGGACAGGGAGGCTCCTCCCTGTCTCCTCCCTTCCTCCTTCACACTAGCTTGAAGACAGGGCTTCGGCAGAGGTGGGTGGGGCTTCGGTGGGGGCGGGACATGCTGGGGAATGCCTCACCCGGAACCAGAGGTACCCCACGCCCCTGCTGCCCACATGCTTCTTCCTGCAGCTCCAGCCCTTCACACTGTACGTGGCAGCATGCCTCGTGCAAATGAGGACCAAACTGTAGCTAAGCTATGGAAAGCTTGAATCACTTTATTGCTTTTACTATTAATGTTGTGGATGAATTACTCCACAGTGTCTGCAGTTACATCGGTCAGTGAGGGCATGTTTTAAAGCTCCATTATGTCTTGTATTTCTGCTTATTTTTAGATTGTTAACAATATGGAAATATTTGAATGCCTATAGGCTATCTACAGTTCTATGTGCCTGGTCATTATACTGGTCACAGTTCTCATTTGCAGGAGGAGTCTAGTGGGCTCCCTTGCTGGCTTCACAAACTTTGGTGTCCACTCTTCTAGATTCATTCTCCAGAGAAAAAAAAAATCCAAAAAAGAGAGAGGGACTGTTTGTATTTTTGCTGCAGATGTTACACAAACCTCTAACTTCATGAGAAGGAATCTCCCAACCAGAAGAGTCCCACGGACACAAAGAAAACTATTAAAGGTTATTAAAGGAGAAGGCTGGCTGCTAGACTGCTCTCACCCTCCACTCCGGTAATGGAATGTCCCTTGGTGTCCTCATTCTAATACACTGTATTGGATGTGATGACTCAAGGGTTCTTAGACCGCTGGAGCAGAGGAGTATAACTTTGTTATTTTCATCCCTAGACGCAAATCCCTAAAAAAATTCCAACATAGCCCCTCAGTTGATCAGTTTTTTAATTCTATTCTACACTAGACCTTTCATCCAACATCTAAAGTATTGCACATGTTATTCTGAAAAGATAAAAAAAGAAACTACCGTATATACTCGAGTATAAGCCGAGATTTTCAGCCCATTTTTTTGGCTTCGGTATATGGGCCCATTCACCATTTCTCTCAACTGTCCCTCTTTTGGAACCAAGTCCCTCTTTCCTCCTTATTGGAAATGTTCTATTGAACTACTAAAAGTGTTATTCTGCACTAAATCCTTCCTCTTATCTGCTAATTATCTGGTTTGCTATTTGGAAAAGTAATGATGAAAAAACAACAGTTGTGGGTTTAATCGGTCATTTTTGGCATTTAATGGCCCACATAACTGGGGGGTGTGACAGGGGTGTGGCAGGGGGTGTGTCCATTGCCTAAATATTGTATATTGTTCTGGAAGGTGTCCCTCTTTCTCATCTCAGAAAGTTGGGAGGTATGCCATTCAACCTACATGTGTGCATTGGTTCAAGCACTGCAAAGCACAGATGTGGATGTGAATCCAACCTTACATTGGCTGTATTATTATGAATTTTTCTACATTTTCTAGTGCAAGCACAATACATAGACAACAGGAAATTTGTTGTTTCAATAGGGCCGGTTCACACAAATGCTCTGCAGCACATTATGAAGTCCTGTTTGCTGCATTTTATGTGCATTGACCTGCATCCTCCACCATTCGGCTCACTTAGATA